GGGGACGGGACCCACAGCATAGCCCTCCTGCTTGACCTGGTAGGACGGGTAGAGGCGTTCCTCAAGCAACCTGGTCCCGTGCCATGTGGGGCTTTAAAGTCTCATCAACACTGATTGGCCACAGAGTCTCCAGCTTTCTGGCTGGATTTTTTTCTGCCAGTCCTGATGAGAGTCCCAGATCTAGCTGGACACTGACTGTTACAAGCACTAGTAGATACCTGGAGTATCTTTGTTCAGCGGCTGAGTGCCTCATGTTTAAATAGTTGGAGAGGACCACTTGCACATTTCCCAGATACTTTCTTGGGAAAAGGATGCTGAGCTGAACGGGCACTTGCTTTGATCCACACATTCTTGGCTGCTGCTCTCCCAACTGCAGGGTGGTCTGCCCAAGAAACCAGAGTCCACATCTTCTCCAAGACCCAGGGTTTGGGGTGTGGCTGCTTGTGCACTAACACACCTTCTTTTCTCCTTCTTTGCAGCCTATGACCCTCAGCAGATTTTCAAGTGCAAAGGCACTTTTGTTGGTCACCAGGGCCCTGTCTGGTGCCTCTGTGTCTATTCCATCGGTGACCTTCTCTTCAGTGGCTCTTCTGACAAAACTATCAAGGCAAGAAACTTATTATTTTAATGCTTGCATGTTGCACATCCTTCGACAATCATACTAGAGTTGAGAGTGCCTTGGGAAAAGCACTTCCTCTTGCTTTCAACCAGGATTCCTGGCTGCATTGCACATACACATACAATGATTTGTGTTCCCCATCTACAGCACATATGGAGAGGGGGAAGCCTTCTGTTTGGTCCCACAAGTATGGAGTCCTGGGTATCATGAGGGAAGAGAATACACATTTGGTAAAAGCATTTAAGCATTTGGGACTGGCTGCAGCCTAACTGTTGCAGCACTTAGATGTCCCTGGCTGATCTTGAAAAAGCTAAGCAGTGTTCGGCTTGGTTAGTACTTGGATGAGAGACCAGTCAGAAATCCAAGGCTATAGGCAAAACTGGGGACTTGAAGAAAAGAATCTCAGAAAAAAAGCAATGGCAAACCACTTCCACTGTTGCCAAGAATCGTCAGGAGCAGAGTGTCACATAAGAGGACTTCCCTTCAGGCCTTCAATAGTAGTTACCTTCACCAAATGAGTGAGTGAGCAAGAGTCAGAGGAAGGGCCTTTTTAATTCCTGCATGGAAGAGCACTGCAGGTTGTATTAGAATTACCCTCCGCCCCCCCCCGACATAGCAGCCTGCTTCTGTTTGTCTTAACTTGCATTTCAGAGCCAGTAGCTAACGCCAAGCAACAAATGGAAAATTTGTAAACCTTTCAGATTTGCATTGAACTTCAGTTGCTGTAGTGTTTGCTAGCTGCCTAGATAGCATCTGCTTTTTAAAATCAACATTTCATTCAGAATTAAAGTGGCACGTATAATAATCAGGAACCCAAACAATGCGGGAGCCCTTGTTTATCAGCTCCTTGGGGATCCTCCATGCACGGGGCTTCTGCTGTCCTCTCATCTCATGTCTTGATAGAATTTAGGGCTGAAAGACCCAGCCCAGCTTGTGTTTGGCAGCCTCTGCGCACGACAGCAAGGGAGGAGTTGGGAATTCCCCAGAGGAGCAGTTTGTTGACAAGGCACGATGGCAGGCAAAGCGCTGTGTCTTTTCACCCCCCGCCCTTTGACAGGAGGCTGAGCACTGCTTTATCCTCCTCTCCAAGGGCTTCGAAATGGGTGCTTGGACGTGTGGCAGTAGCCATCCAGTTTTCTCAGTCATGGAGAAAAAGAAGCAAGCCTGGAGGCTGCTCTCTCAGGCACAGCTCTAGCCTCCCTCTGGCCTTCGTGCCCCCAGGAGAACTCCTTTGCGTCCAGCTCTCGGGGAAAATCTGTCTGTTTGCTTCCTTTCCCGGAGGAATTGACTTCAGCCGGAAAGATAGGAAGGCAGGTGCACAGGTGATGGGCCAGTTGTTTCCTGCCTTCCCCGCTCTGGCAACACGGTCCGACTTCCTGCCCTGGTTCTGGTTGCCCTTGCGTCCAGTCATGTGACCTTTTATTTCCTGCTAGGTGTGGGATACCTGTACCACTTACAAGTGCCAAAAGACCTTGGAAGGTCATGATGGGATTGTCCTGGCGCTCTGCATCCAGGGGTGAGTCACCGCCAGCCTCCCTGCCTTCCGTTGCGTTTTTTTTCCTTCCCAGCAGTTTTCCCTCATGTGCAGGGTCTGCTATTTTTTTGTATATTTCGTATTGTATAAAATCAGTGACTGGCAGCTTAAACTTGACAAAGGAGTTGTGTGAGCCCTAGCCTTGTTTTCAGTAATGGGGAACAATGGGGAAAATGCCCTCTTTTTCAAATGAATCCATTTCCCTTTTGGCGATGGGAATTAAATCTGGGCACCAGAAAACCTGATTTTTGTAAGTTATAATCAAAGTGAACTCGTGTGTGGATTGTGTCGCTTTGCATAATTCTGGTTTTTCAGGTGACGCGTGCCATTTGTTAAATAATGGAAGCTCTTCTAGTAGCTAACTTTTACACCAGGTGTTGCAGTCTGCATTTTTCTGGAGAAAGTCTACCTACCTACCTTTTCACCATCTTGGAAAAAAGAATTCTTGCCAACCAAACGTCTCATAGCTCTCTGATTTTCTTTTTCTTCTGTTTCTTTTGCCCAGGAACAAACTGTATAGCGGCTCTGCCGATTGCACCATTATTGTAAGTGGTTTGATTATGGAAGGCAGGGACAGGGGGAACCTGCCTTGGCTTCCCCCGGGAGGGGGAGAGAAGGGAGTCGGCGATAATCCTCTTGCGCTAGTGCAGCAAAGCGACACAACGCCTGCACCACTTGTCTACATCCTCTTTGGCTTTTGACAGGTTTGGGATATTCAGACTTTGCAGAAAGTCAACACCATCCGTGCGCATGACAACCCTGTGTGCACTCTTGTCTCCTCGCACAACATGCTCTTCAGCGGCTCATTGAAAGCCATTAAGGTATAGTTTTCTAATGCAGGGGAGTGAGGAAGACAGAAACCTTTTTGGCCCTTTCCTCCCAATCCCAGATCCTTTCTTTTCCTGGCCTAAGGAATTTGTCCATTCAGATTTGCTCCCTTCTCTCTGTTGATCAGTTCGTTAAGGACCTTCCTTGACAACCCACTTCCTTACAGAGCTGGCTTTGCTTTTCCCCTCTTCCCTTTTTCTTGTATTTCCTGCTCACTTTGTATTATTCAGTCCCTCAGCTTGTTGAAGCCCCCCTCCTCCTTGAGTAATCGGTTTCTTCTCCTACTTGTTCATAATTACCCCTCGCAAGATCGTTGTAAGGCTAAAGGTCTTTCCTCTGAGCTCCTGGGAAGAAATGAATATCTCAGTCCGATAACGCAGCCTTTCCCAACCTGCTGTCCTCCAGAATTCCCCAGGCAGCATGGCCACCAAGAGTTGCACTCTTGACACATCTGGAGAGCACCAGATGAGGAAAGCAGTTATTACGTTAATATATTCCTTTCCTTCCAGGAGCTGCAAGGAAAGACCTTTATCCTTGCAACAGTCTTCTGAGAGGGTGATTGGCTTGGCGCCACCCACAGTGCTTGTTCTTCTTTGGGGATGTTGTCAGTGATGAAAGCATGGAATAGAAATGTATACATGCGTAAAAACAAACGAGCTCTAACCACTGCACAACTATGGCTCATCTTTCCAGGCTTCCTCGCTTGAGAGAACCGGAGCCTCTGAGGGTCTGTGCTTCAGTTTGCCCATACCTTCTATACAGCAGGCATAGTAAATTGGTCGATGGTCCTGCCTTTGAGCAGAGGGCTGGATTGGATGATCTCATGTCTCTGCTGAAGATGTGATTCTGGCTGTCCTTCTGCCCACCAGGTTTGGGACATTGTAGGCACTGAGCTGAAATTGAAAAAGGAGCTGACAGGCCTCAATCACTGGGTCCGTGCGCTTGTGGCGTCCCAGAATCACCTGTACAGTGGCTCCTACCAAACTATTAAGGTTCGTGTGTGCTCAGAAGCTCTGCCTGCGGTGGCTCGCAAGGGCCTTCTCTTTGCAGCTTGGGAAGAACATCCTGTCAGCTCTTTTCTCCCTCTACTCTAGATCTGGGACATCCGGAACCTGGAATGTGTACATGTCCTGCAGACGTCTGGGGGCAGCGTCTATTCCATTGCGGTCACCAACCATCACATCGTCTGCGGCACTTACGAAAATCTCATTCACGTAAGGATGACTGGAGCCCAAGGCACAGATGGAAGGGGCTGGGGTGGCTGTGCTGTTTTCAGAGAGGCAGAGGCGCATTGTCAGCCCTCCCCAGGAGCCTTCTGTCATCTCTTTCTGGGATCTGGCAAGTCGACTGAGTGGCTAGAGCCACCGGAGTCAGAAGGAGCATTTGGAAGGTAATGCTTGGCCTTTGCTGTCTTCTGAATCAGGTGTGGGATATTGAGTCAAAAGAGCAGGTTCGCACTCTAACGGGACACGTGGGCACCGTGTACGCTCTGGCAGTCATCTCTACGCCGGACCAAACCAAAGTCTTCAGCGCTTCGTATGATCGGTCATTGCGGGTACGTGGGGCGCAGCAAGTTGTCGGTTCAGGGCAAGGGGTGCAGAGGAGGACCAGGTGCAAGAAAGGGGAGGTGGCAATAGTAGGAATGTTAGCAGATCTTTAAAGATCTATCCATTTGATGAAGTTAAACTCTTAGATAGCAGGCAGCTGGGCTCCTGATTGCTGACTAGCTGTGTGGTCATTCCAGCTAAGGTCCTTCAGCGGCCTGGCTCGTTCCAGCAGCAGCCTCTGCTGCTTGAGGGTCTTGCGTGTGTGTCCTTGCTAACCTTCTTTCTCCAAAACCTTCTGAGCAAATTGAAGGAGAACAGGAAGAGCTCTTTCCAGCCACAGCCCTGTTTCAAACTGGTTTCCCCAAAGTTAGGCTAGGCCTCAAACAGTTTGAAAGAGAATAACTGTATAGAGACAAGCCAGAAAAAAACTAAAATTGACTTCATTTCATTTAAATTATTTGGGTGTACATGTATGTACAGTAAGATTATTCTCCCCCCTAATGTATTGTAGTGATTTCCCCTTGTAACACATTCCCAAGTACAATTTCATAAGAAACGTTCGAGGTCATGTAGTGCACTCCTGGATCATACCGTGAGAGAACTGCTCTGAGGGACGAAAGTCCCACCCGAGCGTCTCTGAGCGCAGAGCCCTGAGCGAGAGGGAAAGGCCAGTGGAGGCCCTTGAGTCTCTCCTGTTCAGGTCCCGGCCTGTAATGCCTGATGCAGTTACAGAATGTTAGCAGTCTTTGCTCAAATCCTGCTGAGGGGGCACCGAGTGTTGGAATTCCCCTCAGCTGCATCTGGTGTGCATCCTATCCCCTCGTGAAATGTGGAGGTGCAAAGACTGCGTGTGGCCTGGATTTAGGCAGATGATGGGATCCATGGCTCAGTCGGGAGCCTCTTCAGCACCACCATCGTTACCTTGGCTTGTCCTCTGCCTCCAGGTATGGAGTATGGACAATATGATCTGCACCCAGACACTCCTGCGACACCAGGGCAGCGTCACAGCACTGGCTGTTTCCAGGGGCCGCTTGTTCTCGGGGGCCGTCGACAGCACCGTAAAGGTATATCCCTGATGGTGGGGAGGGGCATGCAGAGCTCTCAGCAGGAGGAAGATGTCCCCCTCCAGTTTGCTCAATGCGGCCTTCGCAACTGGATTCCCAGCTTCCTCCAGCTGAGTTGTCTGAACACCCATCACCCCGCCCAGTCCCAGTGGGTCACTCACTTTCCTGGAAGCACCAAGCCAGCGAAAGCCGGGTTTTTTTCCTGGGTGGTCCAGGTGGTTCCTGGGACTGCTGCCTCAGCAACCCTGTCTGAGATGTTTTTATGCTGCAGAAGGCAGAGGAGGAGGAGGCGGCAATGGAAGTGGGCAGTGGGTTCATCACCTCTTTAGGAAGAGCACCTTTTAGATTTGGGCAAAATTTGATAGAGTCACAAAGCCTGTGGCTTTCCTTTCTCATCTGTTCAGGGAACATTAGCAAGCCAAGATGTGCTTATGTGGGGCCTAGTCAGCCACCACAGTTTAAGACATGGTAAGGACCTTGGCTTAATTCCATGCCGCACGTGGCTTCCTTGGCACTCTCCTTCTTTTGGGAGTTTAGGAGATTAGACATTGCTTCCCCTCTGCCACGTGTTGAGCATCGAGAGAAGGAAGCCATTTTGCAGAACCCTGAAGCGTTGGCCAGGGTGTCCCCTTGCTGGATGTTGCCCTGAGCAATTGTCTGTTTTGTGTTCTGTAGGATCTTTGTCAGCCTCACTAGGTAGGAGACCAGGAAACCAATTCCACAGGAAGGTTAAAAGTACTTTTATTGAGATTGGCTGTAAAACCAGAATCTTGCCACTTCCAAATGTTCTCTTTACCCTGGACTTGAAAAGTGTTTCGACCCCTTTTGCTTAGGTAACATTTCTTCCATATTTCCATCAAAGTCAGCTTCCCTGCTCTCTACAATCCTGTGCCTTTTCAGATAGTGCTAGGCCAGCTCTTGCTGCCCCAGCCAGCATGGAGCATGGTTAGGGATGACTGGGGCAAGGGCCAGGTGGCGGTTGGACCACCATTGACTCTCTCCTCCTGCTCTGTGGCTGAAAGCTCAGGGAATGCTTTCCCAGGCCTCTCCCCTTCTGGGCATTACTGTAGATCTGTGTTTTCTGCCAGGAATCAGAGTGGTCTTGGGGGCTGGGTGAGGGAGGGGCCACACAATTTCCCTGGAGGGGAGTCAGTCAGCCATCTCCATTCTCTTGCAACCTGGGGATGCAAAAACAGGCCTAGAAATGGCATTGTTACACCTATTGTTGCTGGGCTGCATTCATCCCAGAGGTGCAGTTGCACAGCCCCACAAAGGAGCCCTTTGATAAGGACTGGCACCTGGTAGGAAGGCTTCTGGTGCCCAGATGGCATCTGGGCTGGGCCAGGTCACGTGGAACAAGGGTCGCCTCTGCGTCCTACTCAGTGAAGAGGTTCAGGCTCTGCTGCGTCACACCGCTGATGTTTCTTTCCATGACAGGTTTGGACGTGCTAGTGAGTGCCGCCCTCCGTTTGGGACGCCAGGCTACCAAATATTCTTCAGCTCACCCTTGATGTACTGTGCTCCTTCTCTCTGGGCCCTCCACTCCCCAGCAGCTGCGCGAGAGCTTTGGGCCACATACCTCAGCACTGCCCCGTGATGCAGCAGGCTCCTTCCCAGGGAGGACTCTTGCCAATGAACCACCTCCAGCTCCAGTTTCTGGTCTGGCTCTTCCTGGGAGAGGAGGTTGGTGGGACGCTGTCTCAGCTGCGAGCAGTGGCAACGAAGGCCTTCCTGTTTGGCCTCTGCTCCTCAAGGATAGGATGGGATTGTCTCTAACAGCAGCTTTTCTGTGAAGCCGGTTTGGCTCAGTCTGCATGGGCACGCAGAGTACCTTGCCAAGAGGAGGACCTCTCTCTGTTCTGGTATTTAAATTATTTGCTACGCTCTTTCATTTGTGTCCACAGCCAGTGATAAAAACCCATTTTCCTGTCATGTAACCAGGTACGATTTTTATGTCCCCACTTCATCCTTGTTATCAGGTATCCTAAGGCCCCCCTCTTCAGAGCATCACATCATCACGGCCTCCGTGGGAAAGGCAGGAGAGCCAACGGTTGTGTTTTTATGGACATTTTCTACTGTTTTTAAGATTGTGATATAGATTTGGATTATTTCTTCCTTACCAATAAAAATGGACCATTGTTTTAGGCCAGCATGACTCATTGACAAACCTGAAGCATTTTAGCTGATGAACAGAATTCCTCAGGAGTAGGGCCCAACCCTGCCCCCCCCCAAAAAAAATCCCAGGCTGACCTCCATGGATTTCTAGGGATACCCACTCAAAATTTCCTGGCATGTCTGTGATGGGCATGTTCTGGGTGGCCATCAGACAGTAAATATGACAATCCCACTGCCTGCAAAGATACTTGCATGCAGCGCAAGGCGCTTATTGTTCAAAGCAGCACCATAAAGGCTGAATGCAATGCGAGGGGCTACGTAGGATCCCTGTTGCCAAGAAGTGGCAAAAGAGCTAAAACGGCACCTTTGTGTTCAGTTTCTTAGGTCTAACTAATGAAGGGTCATATTTGCCTTTCTTAGCCCACAGAATGCTGCTTCTGAGGTTGCTATTTAAGCATCCAGCTCAAATGGTCTTGGCATCCAGCTTCAAAAACGCTGCCAGTATGTTTAGAGGTAGGAATTGAGAGGAAAATGACGGAGCAAGATATCTTTCTTTTCTTTTTCTTTTTCTTTTTCTTTTTTTGGAGGGGGGGAGATGCCTCCCTTAATTGCATCAGGTGGCCAACAGACCGAATTACGGTGGGAAATGTGTGGCGACACAGTGGAGGGATGACCCCTCAGCAGTTTGTTCTTTTTCTCTCTGCAAATATTCTTGTGCACTGTGGTGTGGAAACGGGGAGATGGAGAAGAATCAACTTCACGGACTGCGCCTGCTTCTTGGTACGTTGCACGAGACGTGCAGCCCTCAAAACGCCTCCGCCCGGCACCCGGCGGCTCTTTCCCGTCACGCAGCTGAAGCGTTTTCTCCCCTCTCCGGCCGCAGCCAAAACGCGAGGCGAGCGGGCCAAGACGAGATCCGGGCGTTTATTAACCACCGGTGGCCGTAAATGCATCTGCGCTGACCCTCGCCTGGACTGTAAACTGCAGCATGAACCCGCCATTCCCTCCGCACCAGGGCAGCCAGACACCCCACAAGTTAGTGCCTCTGAGGAGGGATTTTTTTTCTAACCTCAGTAATAAAAGTATTCTTTAACAGCGAATGTCATGTATCTGTAATAGAGGCAAGTGGGGGGTTCTTCCCCTGTTTTTTCTTTAAATACCAGTAGCCAAATACTACTTTCTTCAAAAGGAGCAGCCAAAAAATGACACCACCCCAAAGCTGTTGATATGAGCAATACTGGTGGGATGTGCGTAGCGAGAAAAGGAGGTTAGAAGCAGAAGATGCATAGCTCTGACGGAAGGGGAATACAATACAGTATCCATAACTTAATAATAAAAATATAATATGTATATATATATATATATATATAATATGTATCTATATCCAGCATCAGAATCTTGGAATAGTTTCTTAGATACATCTTGTTTCTCTTTACAACAGCTATTGTTACGTTGCCTTTTTATTTTTTTTAATTAAGAAATTTCAAAGTTGTGCCAGACACATTTTGGATATCAGCAAAGACAGACTATCCATATTCGAGAAAAGAAACAGGAACAGCATTCACACAGCAACACTGGCTCTCAAAAACCACAGCTCAAGGAAACCAGATAGGGTGTTTCAGACTTAAAAGCCATGTTTAAACTGGACTGACTCCCATTTGTACATCAGTATACAGCTGGGCACACGTTAATGATTTCCACACGCATGCACTTAAACACACGCTCGCACACATACACAGGCGCATATAAACGTACACCCAACTTAAAAAAAACACAGAAAAGAATGCACGCTTTTCAGGTGAGATTAAACAAAAATTCTTAAAACAAGGCACATCCTTTGATTTTCAATAAAACTGTAAAAAGAAAATGGCAAAAAAATCCATATAACATAATGTTTTGCACGCTTTGAAAAAAAAAAGAGAAACTCTACCTTTTTAAACATTGTGCTACTTTTTTAAAATGATCTCACAAGACACACAGCTTATTATAAGTCTAATAGTCAAGCTAAACTCCAGTTCTTTCAATCTTATATTTTAAAACTGTTCAATATACAATTGATAATATTTTAAAATCTTTTTATATATATTAAACTCCTTTCCTTCTTTTGTTATTTATCTCTGGGGGAAACTCCACTTAAATATTTTTCCAATAAATTAATACTTTTTTATATAGCTTATTTTTTTCATCCTTTTAATCACCTTCCAAAGGAAAAGTTGTGAGAGTCTGTTTGCACACGTAAGAACGTTCCTGTGCATGGCCGTCTCAAGAGGAGAGCTCTGCCAATGAAATAATAAAAGGAACAGCACCACAACTGAACACTACTCTTTTAAGGTGAAAACAGCCCCATGATGTCTCTCAAAAAAAGTAGTTCTACCAGAAGATGACAAAGAATTCTCCTGAGATCTTACTCCAAGCCCATGGGTTGAAATCCACGAGTGGGATATATAGCAAGCTGAAGTGGAGACTGCCCCCAATTTCTTCGCCTCTTTGTTCTGGATTCCTTTACTGGATGGAGACGCAGGGGGAGCATGAACAAAGAGGAAGGAGTCAAGCACGACATGTTCACCAAAACGAAGAACAGGTCCCGTGTTGGAGGTTGGGCTGCCATTCAAAAAGATGGAACTGGTGTTCCAAGAGAAGATGAAGCCGTGGTAGCTCAACATGTAAGTTTTATTCCTACTGCTGCTCTTTTACCACTTGGCTGAAGACAGCCACAAGAACATGAGATGTCACCTGCTCAGGAACCCCCCCACACACCTGTTGTCTGAGAAGAGTCTGCAAGGCAAAGCTCCAAGACCTCAGTGAAAATGGTAGCTCTTTCTTTCCTTTATTGCCAGATGATTTGACAAAGCAAAAATCAAAACATGATGGAGAAAACAGAGAACACAGCAGTGAGGGGGAAGCTGAGAGCAACCCCAAATAAGAGGAAGGAGAGGTGAAAAATGAGGGGTTCATCCCATGAGCAAAATGAATGCCCTACAAATCAGACACTTGGGATGCAAAGGGAGGAGATTGTAGCACTTTCCCAGCCCACTCTTCCCTCTGATCTCCTTCAGGAGCTCTGTAATTCCCAAATGGGAATTGTTGTCTTATAGTTTTCCATTCCTGGAAGGTATGAGTTTAGGGAAAAGAGCTTTAAGCTAGCTAGTACCTTGGTGCTCTTCATCTGTGGGAAAGGAATATGATTCAAGTGATTCTGATTTTCAGAGGCATGACTTGAAACATGACCACAGTTAACTCTGAAGTACAAAAACATCATGAGGGAGAGAAATAGAACCAGCTGAAGACATTTAAAAGCCAGTTTAGGCTAGAGATTAGGAAGTTCATTCTAAGAGTCAAAAACAATTAGGCACTGGCAAAAATTCCTTCTGAGTACTTAGGTGAATTCTCTTTGATGGAGCATTTTAGGCAAAGGAATCATTTTGAAATAGCTGTCAAAGGTAAGAATGCTTCCACTGGCCTTGGACAAAGGACAATGTATCTGGGATTAACCCTTGCCCATAAAGCCTAAAAAATACAGAATGCTCTTCTGGGCACAAGGTTTAGAGGACCCAGTAAATTGTTCAAGTAAAATGACCTGCCTCTCCTCGTAAAATGCTATTTCTTGCCATCACAATGCAACAAAAAACTCCTTCAGAAAGTTTTACAAATTCCACAAGAAGGAAGACCAAGTAAAACGGATGCCAAAGCAGCTCACAGAGAACGTGGCTGGAAGGAATCCAAGTCTTCCCATGCAACTTGAAGAAGCTAGGAGATCCAGAGAAACTCATCCATCAGGTGTAGCAGCCAGACAAAAGCCGGCCTTCCCTAATTGCAACATTCAAGCATTCCTCTTGCAGCCAAGCGTCTTCCCTATTTCCTATTAAGACCCTTCCAACTTGCAAGTGTAATAAGCCAAAGGAAACTGGAGGACCATAGAGAGTTCTGAACCGACAGAATAATTTATCCTCCCCACTACTACGGTTTTCTTGTTCCAAGAAGCTAAAGCGCTCAAGTTGGTGGATGAAATTAGAAAATGAATTTGCCACAATACTAAGGTGGTGCTTATACTGCCTGGGGAATAATGAAAAGCGCAATTTTGCACTACATACCTGGAAGGCTCATATAAATAAACTTTGGCGCGTATTGTACATTTGCAGACTGGCAACTAAAAATGCAAAAGTTGTTGATCCTCTTGGAAGATACTCTTTTCTGGGATGAAAAAACAGTGCTGCACTCGGCAGGATTCCTCCTCTCAAGCAAGCCCTTTCCTAATTGACTGCCGGAAGATCCCTCGCAGATACCTAAGATCAATCAGGGCAAGAGCTGTGGCTCGAGTGTGAGTCAGGAGTCAGGAGCACAAACCATGTTCTAGCTGACGGCTGCAATTCACTTATCTTGGCTGAGCCTCCTTTGATTGCCACTTCTTGAAATTGCATGTGTAATACCGAGAGGAGACCTCTCTTCCATTAACCCTCCACTGGAATACAGAACCACCGTTGCCCCTGCCCAGGGTTTCCAGGACACAGATATTATTTGTATTTCCTTGTCTGTCCACTGCCTGGTTAATGATGTCTTCTCCCGGCCTTGCTTCCCAGGCACCTGGAACAATCCCTGTCAATGGCAGGTTGAGAAGGCTGAATGGTTCAATCAGTGGCAAACTCTTTGGGACCAGAAGTGCCTTAGAGCAATAGAAAGTGCGGTGCGAGTCCCTATCCTCAGAACTGCCTTTTACCTCGAGAGAGGGGTGAAAAAAAGAAAGATTTGCCATTCATCTTTGGCAGCCGCAGAAGCCACCAGTGGGCTATGTACAAGGAGATTCTGGCCGGGATGTTTTTATTCCCCCCTCCCCCCCTTTTTTTCTTTTCACGTTTCAACATTTCTATCGATCATGCAAACATACCAAAGCTTTTGCACAGCTTTTGCCAGGAATGATGCTTTCCAAGGCAAACCAACAGAAAATAGAGCTTGTACCTCAAAGGGGACATGTTAACAAAACAGAACTTCTTACAGCCACAGCTTCATCATCACCAGGAGAAGACAAACACCTTCAGGACAAAGAAACAAAGCATGCCTGCTGTAC